ATATACACAATTATATGCTCTTTTGAAATAAATGTTTATATAATATTTTTAAAATTAATTTTGAAAGAAATATACAAATTATTTGTTAATTTTCAATGCAATATTAAATCTAATCCTGTATTTCATTTTCAACGTCTACGCGTAATGAGGATACAGATTAAGACGTGTGAATACCTAGTGATGAATAACTGCTCATAACTTCTCGTAGCGTGACGAAAATCATTTGAAGATCTCTCTTCGCAGTCAGAAATGATTAACGATATTCAAAATAAAATCGGTCCTGCTTCAAAATAATGAGGCTTGCCAAATAGCGGAAGTGCAGAAACCGGTTTATTCAGGTAACAGGCATTTATCGATACCTCCCTCTTCTCGCACATTTTCGCATGAATTCACATTATATATCGATTAATCTGTGCATTTCACAAAATGCTTGATTTAAGCATTATTGCTTTTGAAGAAATTTGAATTCCAATTTATATTTAAATGACAAATATATAAAAATATATTGAAATAATGTTTTGTCTTTTGACAAAAAAAATTCTATCTTATTATCTCAATATGTAGAATATGCATCCAATAATATCGTTAAGGTCATTCATTAGTGCATTACTATTCTATGACATTGATGCACGATCATGGAAGTGACCCGAGTACTTCAAGCGTCAAGAACTAGATCAGCGCCCTCAGTGAGAGCGCGCGCGCTACGTATTAAGCAATATAAAACATATGACTCGGGAGGATTGTCAAAGCTTTCGAAACGTGTGAACGAATTATGTGCAACGACCAAGGATAATGATCACGGATACAGTAATGATTCATCTAAGGCAGCGACTGACCGGCAAGGTGCAATCGACAATGAATCAAATTGCAGGTATGTTTTGTGACCTAACTATGAAACAAATATGTATATTTTTATCTATCAAATTAATTCTATCAATGCAAAAATTTCTAATACATTAAATCAGATTATAAGCAATAATAGTGCATCTATGTTATTTTATTATATATTTTATGATAAATTTATAATTGTTTTCAACTGTAAATAAATGCTGCTTGTTTTCTACTCGTTGTAGAATTGTTGCATAATTTGTTACAGCATTTTTTTGTTTGTTATATTGCATAATGCATACTTCAGACTTTATCGTGGAAAGGTATAATATTGAATAAAAGACGTCCTTCGCGAACATTATTTTCCCACACGAATACGTATCGTTTCAATGAGAATAATCATGATGATTCACACGATAAATGAAAGAACTTGTAAAAATTTCATTCTATCTATCTTTCATCGTGCATTTTCCGGCTATATCAATTAATCATAGAACAGATTGCGGTAACGAGGGCTTGCAATGGTATTGACACCATCATTGTGGTTAATGATACAGTTGGCGGAACAGACTTTGTCATCGATAGTGTGAAATATGTCAGTAATTCTACACTCGTAATTATACCAATTTTCTTGTTGCTCTATCTATTACTCCAATCCATAGAAAAACCAATTTTGTATCTTACTATTTATTTGTAAAAATGCAAATTAATAAAAATGTGATTACTAAAGCGCTCTTTAAACACGGAGAAAATTTTATATAAAAAATTACTACGTACAGCAGTAGCCGTGGACCATGAAGGAATTATACAAATTTTTACTATGTTTTTCATACGTGAAATATAGTAAAAATTTTGGTTTTATGGTCCGCGGTTACTGCCGTACATAGTAATTTTTGATATAAAATTTTCTCCGTGCAGTTTTTAGCAATTAAGTGAATGATAAATATTAATGATTAGAAAAGACAGCGGATGGTGTCAGATATTTGCATGATTAAGCAAGTATAATGAATGAGTTCACTCACCGGTTGTTGTATCCTAACCAAGTGCGCTTTATCAGCTGCATCTGGAAAAATTAAGATTAATTATTACATATTATTTAAATATTTTTATTTTAATTAAAATATTTTATCTAATATTAAAATAAAATAATTATTTAAAAATTTTAATAAATTTAAATTTTACTAAATATTTAATAAACATTTAGATAAATACTATAATAAATATTCTTAAATACACTCATTTTAATAAATATATATGTTCGTTATCATTTTATGTATATATTTAAATAAAGAATAAATAATTGGACTCACCAGTTAGAATATTGCAGTATGTTTCACCCGCTGTAGATTTCGTCTAAGATTGCTTCGCAACAGCTCCATCAAAGAACGACGAACATCAGAAACTAGCACTTTTGTTGGTTACACACATTATAAAACAAAAGCCAAATACATACTTTCGAAATTATGAATTAACGAAGGAAATTTGTTACCGCCCAATATACGAATCGTAAACGCGAGATAAAACACTTAACATAACACTTGTTACCCAAACAGCATAGCATATTCAAAAGACGTCCAGAGGATATCCCGAAAACGTTTTTGAACAGGATGTCCTCTAGATATCCTTTGGATGTATTTTAGACATGTGTGCTGTCTGAGTATATATGTAATCGGAGCAAAGTATTATCTTCTCACACATCCGGCGATTTTTTTGGCACTGTAACAGATAAAACGAACAAACGTGACTGCTTGGCAACCAAACAAAAGTTATCAATTATGAATGCATACCACACATACAATCTATACTGCATACTTACATTCTATAAGAAATACATTGCGTTTTCGAACGAATGTAGAGATTATTTTACGTATATAAGATATAAAAACTTTTGTAGTTAACGACAATCTAACCTATATAAATTCACGGCCAGTAGATGATCGATGAATCATGATTAATCGTTGTTAATTCGCGGCGAGTAATATTTCCCGGCGATCGCCCGTTACTTTAATCGACACTCCCGATAAAAGTTCATATTTATCATCTTTAATCGTTTTAATACGGAAAAAATACACAATTTAGCATAAAATATCTTACGTTCGGAATCGACGCGCTGAAGAATTCTGAATGTTCGGTAGGGTAGTATGCGCGCTTCCCTACCGGCTGTCACACTTTGTACCCTTCTGACGTATATTATCCTACCGACCACTGTGAATTTTTGGCGCATTGATCATAACGAAAAGCGCGAAAGTGTTGTATACATTATTTAACTGTGTACTTTATTCGTATTAAAAATGTATAACAAGTGCAAATTTTTATCGGTAGTGTTGATTAAAAAGGCCAGTATTATTTATCGCGGATATTCGCGATTCGGCATTCGCGATTCGGCATTCGCGAACGGCGTTTCGTACATGATTGACAGTTCGAGTCGTGGATTTATAGGTTAGCAAATAATTTCAATGGAATTGTATATATTTTAATATCATAAATGCGTAAATGATTCCTGCATTGATTCTAAAAAGTCGAAGCGCGATGTATTTTTTATTAGTATGTTGAAAATTTATTTCACTGAAATCAATTAAGTAGAATATTGTTATTATATGCATATCTATATCTAACAATTTTCGTCAAGACAGTCATTGTTTGTCTTACTTGAGTGCATTTACAGTGTCGAATCGATTGTCGAATGTGTAAAATTAATGTAGAGATATTATTATATGCGTAAATGCATTGTGACATAATGTATTTCGTGTATCGCGGCGTGGCAAATCTAGTTTTTACATAAGTAAAGTATTCGATAGTGTGTGTAATTAACTATAAGTTCGGATATCTGATATTCATTGATCCTTCGATGGAATTGATGCAGAGTTCAAGGAGAAATCCACAGTGGATGAAGCATATTGCAATATTCTAGGTGATTTTACTTATTTGTTTATTATTTATAAATATATATGTAATTGTAATAATATACATAAATAGAATTACAATTTGAAAAAATGGAAATAATTAAATAATATGCAATAATTAACATACATAACTGAATGTTACATATTTATTTTTTCAGATATTTATTTATCCAACTGAAAGAGCGTGCTTAGCTAGAATACGACAACTGATGAGTGAATTCGTTCATTTATTTGCGTGATGCACCTTGCAATTCCGTTTTTATAATTACTCAAAAAATTGCTGGCTATCACTGAATTTATAACTAAATTTATGATTCTAACATAAAGTTTTTATTTCACGTTTGCATTTTCGTGACATGGAAAATTTGTTACGTAAATTTGTGATTTTCTGAAGCAAAGGGTTAACTTTTGGCTAATAATACGCGCAATTAAATGCGAGTTTTCGATATTCATTGATTTATCAATAGAATTGATGCCAAGAATTCTGAGAAAACTGAGAATCTGCATCAAATAAAGTGTACTGCAATATCGTAGCTACTGAATATAATAATTCATTCATTATTTAAATATATACATAATTGCGATAAAATACACGTGTATACAATTAGAATTACATAACAGTTAAATCGTTCTCAAACAATACAATGCAAATTCTTGTTTTGTCGTGGAAAATTAAATATTTTATGCTAGTTATAAGCAGTATTTGTTAATCGATTTATATGGCTTATGATATAATTTTTCATATGTATAACACGTTTATCGCAATATTTGTTACATCGTTTTGGACACTTTAATTTTCTGAGACAATTGAACATAATAGTCTCTTTTGCTTTGGCACTATACTAACGAATAATCTATAAATGTTGATGTCACGAAAAATAAGACAAAGTTTTACGATCCTCCGCGATCTGGTGATACATTCAGTGACGTGCACACACGAGCCACATAGAATCCCCTCTTTCAGAAGAGGTGCTTTCATGCGCGCGTATAAAGCCAGTGAAAGCGCCAGGCGGCCCTCCAGACTAGCGCACAGTCCGACAGCGATAGGAGCTCTGCCGACGTACGGCAAACTTAGATTAATGCTTGAGAATCTCACATAAGTTCATACATTAATAAATAAGGCAACTGAAAAAATTAATTATCGTGCTCTGTTCGTCGCGTCTACGTGTTCGCGACTTTCCGATTTGTGAATAGGATAGCTTAGATCAGGAGTGACAATGAAGATCTATCTAATTGGAATCTTGACTATTCTACTACTCGTTGGTACCACGATTTTGGGACATCCTTCACAGGAGAGATCCATAATGCCAGGTATTTATATGTTTTTAATTCAATCTTATATCTCTTTATTTATTTTCTTTAAGTAAAATACTACCATCAGTCTGTAGTGACATTTTATTTAAAAATATTTGAGCTTTAAGTTTAGACAGTCGAATAGTTTAAACATGAGCAATAATCGATTTATGATATCAACTCATCTCTCAAAATTCGAACAGTTCAAATATTTAAAAAAATTGAAGCAAAAATAACATGCATTACATTTGTAAAATGCTTAAAATAAAAAGTTGGTATATAGAATCAATTTAATTGATTCTTTAATGAAAACGAAGCGGAATGAAATGTATGCAAAGAAGTATTACATAAAATGTTCGTTTATCTAATGACATTGGGTAAATACCTATAAATTATGCATAATATGAATATGCAACAAATTAGATAAGTATGTATTAGATACATATTTGAACAGCTCGAAAACTATTTGAACATATCTTCAGAATATACATCTAATACATATTTATCTTATTTATGCTTGTTATAAGTTTATATTAACACAGTTCGAACTTTTGAATATACATTCAGTTTGGAAACTAAAGCTTAAACTATTTGACGTTTGATCTCCATATTGAATTACTAATCTAAACTGCTCCATTTGAAATTTTTTAAAGCACTATCACAAGTAAATAATTCTATTGATAGTGCAAATATGATAACACAAATATTTTATACAAGAATTAATTAATTTTATTAAAGATAAAGTTAAATATTTTGAGCATTAATTCAATAGTATACATTAGGACAAAAATTATTAGCCTTTATATTGGTTTACCTTTTATTGCAAAAATAAAAGGAAAAAGGAATCGCTTGCACTCTGTCACAAGTTGCAATAGTACAACGATTAAGCGGCAAAGATACAATGATCTTAAGTCATTCTCTATCGATGATTTAAAGTTCATGGCTGAATCTTGCACAATGCGGTCATCTATAACACAGATATTGCAATGAGGCGTGTTCAAAGACATTATACCGTTTCTATACAGATATTGTTGCATGCATTTCGTCTATGTATATCTTCAATAATGAGGACTAAATTGTCATTCACATCATTAATCTTCTATTAACCCGATGCAAATATGATGAAATTTTGTTCCAATATAAAATTTGCTTTATCAATTAAAAAAACACATCTTGTCCAATAAGCTTTTTAAATCATCTTTCATAAACTATAATATGTTAATTAATTAAAGCGCATCACTCAAAAGTTTAAATTTAATTTGCAGTAATTTGAAAAGAATCATATCAATAGTATGTAAATAAAACATACGCGAAACACAGATATATAATTGCAATATGCAGTAAGCAATTCTTATATATACATTGAGAGAAAAGAATAATTAACCATAATCTATAGTGTTTTTTAGCGCCAACCATATTTTCATGGATATTCTAACTATAGTTGATTATATGATTGACATTACCATATATATAAAGTTATTATTACTAAATTATAGTAATAATTTCTATAAAAATGAGTATTCTGATTATAATTATAGTCCCATACAATTATAGTTCCAAATATCACATACTTTTCTCTCAGTGTATTTCTCTTATATGCAGTATGTAATTCTTTGTTACGCGAATTACTAACACCGTTACACACTGATATTCTCGGATAATTACTTTAATATCTACTTTCGTGCAGTTCGTACACGTCAAAACTGCGCTATTAGATCGAAGATGAGAAAATTCCGCAATATATATTTCATACATGATAATTATTCGAGAAGAGCAATCTTAGATACAATCTTTGCTGTTTCGTTCTATCATAGTCTGACTTTATCACGTACAATTATGCCTCCACCCTCTCTCTATCCTTCGTTTGCGAAAGTAGAACACTTCCTTCTACAGATGCTAATCCTGATAACCTCGGAGAATGTGCCGTCTCCCTGCAACGTGACAGCACTCAAAATTGCTGCGGTTCAAGTTTCTCGCTTCTGTCACAATTCCATGAAAGAACTTTTCAACATTATTCTCATATTGCTTTGCATCCGCGGCTCTGGCATTTGTCGAATAAACATCAGTAAAATAGCTATTACAACACGTGTTATTTAAACGTATGGGAAGCCTATAAACGGTTGTCTGTATAAGCACGTGAGTCTGGCTCGTCGTGAACGTACGCTCACGAGATTCCCCGCCTACGCTCGTCGCCGTGTGTACGGCGGTTTGCAAGGACTGCAACTTTGCTGCATTTTTGTAGAAACTGACAGACATAGTAGCAGGGTCGCAGAATGTAGCGAGATACAATGATATTTACTATATATTACAATCGTAAAGTGTTTTGCAATAATTGAAACATGTTTCTTTGGAGAACAAATTTAAGAAGTATATCTTTTAATTGTTGTACAAAAAAGTAATAATTGAATATTGCATAATATGTAATTAACAGAGAGTATAATTAGTTTCCCGATTAACAATAATTTGAAAGTTTTCATTTATATTAAATATTAATGACAAAAGAATGTCAAATTTAATAAGCTCGACAGACATTCATCTACAAAATCGATTATCCACGCGCATGTATCTAATCTTCAATTTTCTAAAGAATCTATAAATAAAAGGAAGTGTAGAATGCAAGACAAATATTCTCTACATGCACATTCGCATTTTTAAAAATTGATCTTATAGTGAGATTAATACCTCTTAATGTGTGTATGTCGCAAATACGATCTCGCAACCGCTTAATAACTGTAACATTCAGCGTATTCGCACCTACACGCGTATCGCGTATTATAGAATCAATGCCGTTTGCACAGACGTCAGGGCATGAACGATAGTAACAATTCCTGTACCAGCATGCAGGAGCCAGTCTCACGTGCCGCACGTGAATCAATGTACTTTTGCACGTGCCGGTTATTGCTGATCGGTGCGAGAAAGACAAAGAAAGAGAGCCAGGCTCGTACACCTTTCCTCGTACGGATTAATTCCATCGAGAGAAAAGTCCGATCGAGTCACGTGCAGCCACTCGCCTCGAATCACGCGACCGTCCGTCCTGTCAATTAACGACCGCGCGACGTCTTCTCGGTTAGCTTCGTTTGTGCGAGGACCATAGCAAGGCCGCGACAAAACCCGTTTTTATCGTGTTTCGATTTCTCAGAAATCACTCTTACTCTTTCACATTTTTTGCGGTGATTTTTGCGGCATAAAAATAAAATTCACGATAACTAATGAGTATCGTAATAATTAAAGAATTACTCGTAATTTCAAAGCGTTTATCTAGAATTGCATATCTATATTTTAAATTGTAGCTAAAGTTACATATCACAAATCTTACAGAGTTTGACGTTTTTTGACCTACTTATTCACTTATTCTCACATAACATGAGAAAGTGCAAATGAAAGTAATTTCTCTGACAATGAGAAGAATGAGATTTCATAAGGCATTAAGTATCACGACATTGACACTGGGTGTGCAAAATTAGCGGTGTATAAATAACTAACTAGTTGTAAAAGAAATGATACAGTCGCACCTTATTAAATCTACAAACTACTAATGAAGATGGAGAAAGTGTGAGAAATTCGAAGGAGATTACAGCTTGAATGAGATCGAATAATAACGTTCTCTCGCAGCAGAAAGAATGGAATAGCGACAATCTGTCATTGACACTGATTCGCTTTCTCGTATACCAATCTAGTATACTAATAAAGTGCCGTGTTGTATTTATAACATTCTTCATAGAATGTCAAGAGAGCTAACTAGCGCATGACTAATCTTAACACAATATTTATGCATTTCGAGATTCCATATCGTGTCGTACAGATTTCTCAATAACTACAACTTCCGTATAATTAATCTATGCTTTCTCCGTTTGCGAAACATAAAGAATCGAAATAGCTGATTCAGCTTAGCGATGAATTCTAATTTTTTAATAATATTATTATTAATATTATCTATTATTATTAATCTATTATTTATTAATCTATTATTTATTCATCTATTATTATTAATATTATCTATCAATATTATTTATCATTGCTGATTAAGCATCAGTAATGGCACCTGCAAAATCACGGATTTACATATTACATACGGATCACATATTAAAGTTTCTCGGTTTTATTACGTGCAAAAATTAATCCTACGTTAATCAACTTCTAGAACACGATAAAAACATTCGCACATAAATTTTATAACACGTATTGCATCGCAAGAGTAACTTACGCAAAAAGATATCAGAAGAGCGTAAAGCGTGCATACCCGCAATAAAAGCAAGATTGGCATTAGATTGGGATTAGTTATCTGACCTTCTTTTTCCCGGATACGTGGTTTTGCGGATACGTGCTTTCCTGGACGCTTTATTAGGACGCCTGATTAGGATTGCAGAAACTTTACAATAAGCAAAATAAAACCACCAGGATTGCAAATTATAAATAGCAAAAAATTAATAAATGATGTGTAAATTAATAGATTCATATTATCGACTTAATTGTATAATCTATCTAATCAATCTGAAAATATTAATTAAGCAGTTTTATTGTGTATTTGTATCCGTTAATAATCAAGTTTCCGACTTGAGAAAAAGTTACTGCTTTAGTAACACTTTAATGCACGAGAACGAGAGTAACGATTATGATCAGCAATTTTATCAAATTGCTTATATGTACTGTCTCTGCTAATAGTATCCAGGTGAATTCGTCGGTGAATGTAGTTTCTTTTTAGCTCAACTTTCTACGATTCATGATCATGATTCAGTACCCATGGGGTTTTTAAAACGCCTGCTAATACGACCGTTTTCTTATTGATAGCGACAAGTATGTGAATTTAAACGTTAACTTTCTACACGGCAGTTTGGCCATAATCAGTGTTATTAGTATCGGCATAGTACGCGACCGCTGTCAGACAGATTTACGGTGATACGAATATGTTAATTAAACCGGCACAGAAAGGACCCCCAAAGGGCCGCGTGAGCCAACTTAATTTGAGCAATTAACATTGTTAAACTCAGTACCGCAAGTGCACAATGATTGATGTGCAT